TATAATTTCTTTATTTGCAGCACTGGGAATCAAATTCAGGGCCTCCTGCATGCTAGACAAGAGCTCTACCACTGAGTTACACCCTTAGACCCATAATTTTTATAGTAGCAAAGTACTTGGCACAATCTAGACCTAGCCCTTAGGTCCATGGGTTGGACTTCTTGCCAGGGAACAATGAGGTCAGCAGGGAACAGTTCCTRAAGACCCCAAGTATCAAGCAGAGGCATCAAAGGCCATGGGGAACCTATGAAGGATGAGAAACAGGACAATAACTATGTCAAACTTGTGCTTCAGAAAATGTTGTTTTCCACACCGCTGGAGACCAGTGTGGAGGCTGGAGCAGGGATGGGTGAGATGGGTGAGATGAGATGGCCAGAGCTGGACAGGACTGGCAAAGGAGGGGAAAATGAGAAGTGTTTTGACCAGACAGGGGACTATGTGGAAGACAAAGGTGCTGAGGAGCACTCAAGCTCGGGATGCTGGCTTAATGGTATGTGAGTGTGGGCACCTTACTTAACTTCTCTGGGTCTCAGTCTCCTACTCTATGAACAGGGATCTTAACAGGATCATAAACCCTATATTATAGTGATGATTAAATGAGAAAAAAAAAACATGTGAAGTGCTTAGAAGGATGCCTCGCACACAGAAAGGACTCAATAAATATTAGTTGTTGTTAATCCTAAAATTATTAATCATTCCTGTGATTATCACTATTATTTATTCACTCAATTTACTAAGCACCTATTACTGAACAAGAACAATATGGGCCCAACATTCAGGAAGCTGACATGAGATGGGAATAGGAAGAAAAACAATAAACAAAGAATTAAATGTGTACAAAAATCTCAGATGATGATTATCAACAAATCCTAAAAAACAAGAGAGGAAGAGGGCAGCTAGAGGTAGTTTCTGCAGGGGTGAAAGGAGGCCCCCTCAGGAGGCAGCAGGGGTGGGGGGACAGGTATAGGGTTAAGCTAGTAGGCTCAACTTTGGAGAAAACAGGACTCAGAGGAGAGGCTCCTGGGAGGCAAAATGTCCTACCTCTCTCTTGGCCCAGTCGTGGGGGTGGAGTTTCCTCTGTGACCCCTTCTGCAGGTCCAGCAGGTGAAACAGGGCGGCTGGGCTGAGGGGTGCCACCAGGGCTGGGCTCCGTGCCCTTTTGGAGGGAACCTTCAGAATGGAAACTCTGGTTGCTGTTCTCATCTGTAGGAGTAACAGCCAAGAAGGTTGTCATGAGGCCTCCAGTATCCTCCTTCAATCCCTACAGTCTCCCCAAATTCCATGATCCTTACATACCATTGAGATCCAGCAGGATGAGAGGGCCACCTGCACGGGGACTGGCTCCCCTACCCCTGCGGTCCCGGCCACGGGATCTTTCTGCCCCTCCACCAGCCCGCCTTCGCTCCTAAGGATTACACAGATAWGGTCAGAGCCAGCTTTCTAGTTAGTTCTTGCAAAGTCCCCCCCCCCTGTAGAAATAAGGAAACTAAGGCATAGAGAAAGCAAAAGTCCCTGCCTGATGTGGCAGATAATGCGTACATTGGGTTACATCTTGATCTTGGGTGTCTGGAGCAGGAAAAAAGGGAAAAGGGGGAGGAGTTGCTGATAACCGTTAACATCTGTCCGGCTGCTACACTGGAGGTCTCAGAGTGGGGACTGAAGGTGGAGGCCAAGGGGGGAGGGGCTTGCTTGAGGTTGCACAGATGCAGGGCCTGGTGGGGGGGGGGGCTTGCTCACCTCCTCTTGGGGGTCCACCACTGGCACCCACTTGAAGATACGAAGGGAAGTGTCGCCCACAGTCACCCAGCGCTTCTCCCTGTGGGAGGACAGGAGCTGGGTCAGAGAGGTATGAGGGGAGAGCCACCCCTCTAGAGCYGGGGTAGCTGCATTAGGGAGATGCACTAGGGTAGGGGCAGTTTCGCTAATGGAGTACAGTTAAAGGGAGAAAGGCAGCCCTGCAAACCCCAGGGCACAGATGGGAGTGATTCCAGAMGGTAAGACTAGGGGGCGTGGCTCTTGCAGACCCCTGGGGCACACATGGTGGTCGGGGGCTGGCTGGGAACCCTGGCTATGAAGATTGCGCGGCATACTTACAGGAGGAGTGTCAAAGCTTTAGGGGGCGGGACATAGATGAGGGCTCCYACTCCAGGAGGGCACGGCTGGGGATCACGCTTTGTAGACCCCCGGGAATAGCCAGGGAAAGAAGGACAGAGCCCAGTCGATCCAGCGCACAGCGGGTGGGCGAGGGACACACCTAACGCCAGGGGCCACGGCTGGCGAGGGGGGGTGGTACCCCATGTCCCGTCGCTGGCACCGAGGCAGGACTCACCATCTCCGGACCTTCTCGATGGTCGCCATCACCTTCTTGATGTCATCCTTGGCCCGGCTCCGGGTCTCGGCCCGTACGGTGCGGCCGGCCATGCTGCCGGGGCTGGGGCCGGGGCCGAGCCCGCGGCGGGGCCGCCTGCCGTCCGGCGGGCTCAGGCTCGGCGCCAGGCCGGGGCGCCGCTCTCTCGGCCTGCCGTCCCTCCGGGAGTTGGCCGCGCCCTCCCTCGCTCCTCAACGCCTCCGCGAGTCCCCGCCCCGCTTCCTGCTGCCGCGCCCCGCCCCGGCCCGTCCCCGGAGCGGCCGGGCGGCGCGGGCGGCCAGAGCCCAGGCCTGGAAGCCGGGCCGGCCCCGCCCCGCCCCGGGCCCGCCCCGCCCCGGGCCCGCCCCCTCGGGGCGCCGGGACGCGCAGCGCCCCCTGCCAGCCGCCCAGAGGGAGAGTCTGGGGGCAGCTCGGCGGCTAGACGCGCGCAGCAGGGCCTAGCGGTGCGTTCAGACCACGTGGGTGCCGGGGTGCACGAGAGGGTCTGTGTCCTGATGTGCGTCCGCAGCGGGTGGGCGTCCCTGAAATGCTGGGTGTTGTGTTTGCGCGCGCGCGCGTGTGCTTGCTTCCGTTCTCACCAGCCTGATTCTACACTGTTCAACTTACTCGCTCATCCATTCATTCAACAGTCTGTTAACTGAGTGCCAAGTGTATGTCAGAAACTGCAAGTACGAGTGGGTCTTCCCCAACGAAAATGGCCAAAGTGAAAAAGACCTACCATCTCCAGTTTAGGCAAAAAGTAGAGCAATTGGATGTCCCTTATATTTCTACAGGAGTGTAAATTAGGAGAGACTCTGAAAAACTGGCATTTTTCATGCCAACCCACAAGGATAATTGGAATGGATTACAACCTATTCACACCATGGACTTAGACACAGCAAGCAGAATGACCAGTGTCCTGCTACACCCAACAACCTAGACGAGTCTCATGGACAAATCTTGAGTAAAAAAAGCGAAATCCAATGGTAACCATTAGATGATTCTATATATGAAGATCAAAAACAGACAAACTTATGGTGTGAGAAGTCAGCATTGTAGTCATTCTTCAGACAGGGAGAGGGTAAGAGTGGGGCTTCTGGGAAGTGGCTGTGTTCTATTTCTTAATCTGGTACTGATTGATATTCCTGGGGCATATTTACTCTCTGAAAAGTCATCAAACTATATATTTATTATGTGTGCACTTTTTCATATGTTTATTACAGTTCAGTTAAAAGTTTTCTTAAAAATATGAATATGTCTCAGTTAATTTTATTTGAGGATGCTCAGTCAGTAGATATGATAAAGTCTCAACCTGTGTTGCTGTGCTTTATGATTTGTATTTCAAAGATTTGTCTGTGAGTTTTGGTGTGATCATGTTCAGAGGGGTTAAAGGATTAGGAGAGTGGTTATGACAGCATTTCTGGAGCCGAACTATAGATAGATAGTGATAGATACATATATATCTTATGTATCTTATATCTTACATCTTACATATTAGATACATATATATCTTAATCCCATGTTGTAGATACATATATATACACATACGTGTAGTATATATATTACACATGCATATACGTGTATCTTATACACATATTTCGTGTGTGTATGTGTGTGTGTGTGTGTACAATGCTTGGAAGACAGTAAATACCCAGTAAATGTTAACTGTTGATTAGTGTGTGATTGTGACCCCTGACAACAGTCTGGCTCCTACCTCTGCTATACCCTCCTTTATTTTGGCAATTGTCTGCTCATGGTAATATCCTCTGGTGTCAGGTAAGGAGCCGGTGAGTTGGGAGAAAGGGCATGCTGGCCTCCTTCTCAGTCCCTTGGCTCACAAACTCTGTTACCTGCTTGTTTATGGTCTCCTCCATCAGACTGTGAACTCAAGGGGCCAGAGACCAAATATGGATCCTCTCTAACTCAGAGGCCAGGATAGAGTAGATGCTTGGGAATCAGCTGTGAGGATAAGTGTGTATAATMATTTCAGTGTGTACACCACACTAATGAGGTTGCTGTTTGAGCTTGACCTCCTAWACAGGTCTCTGAAACCTGTTCTCTGAGCATGCGCATTTGAATACCTTAACTCTCCAGGAGATGCAATGTACACGTGGAGGGGGGTTGTTGGTTAGTGAGCCTGGTAAAGTGAGGCGTGGTGGTGTCTTGTTTCCCTCCTGGCAGATATGAGGAGAATGGAAGGCATCTAAGATTGGCCAGGAGGTGTATGTTTGGAAAGGTGCTTCTCAAGCCGGCGGCCCCCACCGCTGCCTCTTTAGCACSTAGCCCCAGTCAAGAGGGAGGGCCTGCACATTCCTGTTAGCCCGCGGCTTCCCTCTCCTGTCCCTGAAGCTTTAATCCCAAATCAACCCTGGCGTCCCTCCCCGCTTCAGGTGGGAACCAGAGCCTCCTCTTCCAGAGGGTTACAAGGCTGTCTCCCAGGGCTTGAGACCCCCAGCCTTAAAGTAATGTCCACAGGTCAGACTACCTGCATCCCTGGCGGGGCCCCTTCCCTGACCAGGCGGCGCAGGCTAGTTGCTGAGCTCAGGGCCAAGGAATCTTGCCTAGAAGGGCTGGTGGGGCGGGGGGGAATGTTTGGGGTCTGGACTATGATTGGCTGCGCCCGAGCCACGCCCCTACCCCTTTCCCCAGGGGGGCGTGGAGGGAACCGGGATCAGCCAGGGGCCAGCATGAGCCAGAGGGAGGGAAGTCTGGGTAAGGGGCTGAGGGGCCAGACGCTGGGTCACCGAAGGGAGTAGGAATCAGAAGGGCTGACAGCTGGGGTCTGGGTCTTCACCACCCCTGGGTCCGGGAGGGGAGCGGCCTGGGCGGGGGAAAGCAGGCTCCGGTGTCAGGTAACGTGCGGGTGAGTTGGGAGAAAGGGCAGGCGCAAGGGTTTAGAGGAGGCCTGGGGCTGAGTCCTCCAGGGTGTGGGCTCAGGGCTTAGATCACCGGTGAGTACAGCACATTGAGGGAGGGCTGGGGTCGGGGATGGGTCAGGCGCCAAGGTCCTCTCTGATTATTGGGAAAGAATCAGAGCTGGGGAGCCGGAGGGAGAGGTAGAATTAGGGAAGTAATTTTTCGAGCCACAGGAACTAGTGAGTGACAACCGGACTCGAAAGTCAAAGCTGCTGAGGATAGGGACTGGTTGTGGGAAACTCAGGGGGGGCGGGGCGGGAGTTGCCGGGCCTGGACTACAGTCCCCAGCATGCACTGTGCGTCTCAGGACTCRTAGTCCTTCTGGGCGCCACACTCTGGCTTGTGTCAGGGAAAGTCAGGCGATGCTGCCCTGCCCAGTAGGGGCATCAGAGAGGGAATGGGACATGGTCTCCCTATCTGTAAAATGGGCCTTAAAGTCACATTCCAATTTGAAGTTCTGTGCTTCAGGGATGTTGAATTCCACCAACAGTCACAGGGCATGTGTAAGGCCCTATTCTCAGAAGCATCCCAGGCTAAGGTAGATATACACAAGTTGGAGAGCTACCTTGGAATTATGAACAAATGGCCTTAAGTCAAAGGGAGCAGTTCATTTAAGGATTCTGGATTCTGCAAAGAGGAGGGGCAGAATTTAAAGTTAGTTTTAATGGGATTTCAATAGTGATTTGGGGACAGGGGACACATTTCATGTAGAGCAACTATTTGATAAAAGTCTGGTGCCCCATTTTTCCTCACTTGGAGTGGGACAGATCTTTCCTGGCTTGAATGCTGGAGCATTCAGAGTAGAGTTTCTGGGTTCAGGAGAGAAGAGTGGCTGGGTGGTCAAGGAGCAGGAGCTTGGGCTGCCCTCATTCCTCCCTCCCTTTCCCACCAGAAGACCCCCAGGCTGACGATTCAGTCTCACTCCTCCCCCACTTGGAGGCCAAGATCCGTCAGACACACAGCCTTGCCCGCCTCCTCACCAAATACGCAGAGCAGCTGCTCCAGGAATATGTGAGTGGGAAAGGGGTTGGGGGTGCCTTGGGCCTGGGAAACAGGGAAGCACAGGTCACAGAGGTCCTCTATCACCTATTTTCTCAACCTCATTCCCAGCTGTGAAAAACAAACCTCCTGAGAGAGACAGCAACTACTCCTGGCCACAGAGCAAATGGAGGAGGCAAATGACCTCTGCCTCAGATTGGAGCCTCCCCTCCTTTGTTGTAGGGACAGATGAGGCAAGGCACTGAAGTAAGATAGCAGGAAACAAGTTTTATTTGGCTGCAGCTAGGTTCAGAGGGCACATAGCTTTTGCCTGAATCCCGAGTTCAAATAGTTTCAGAATTTTATACCCAGCATGTAAGAGGAGGTGCTCAGAAGTTTACATAAAAGCAGTTTTTTTTTTTTTTCCCCACTGTTTTGGGCAAGTTAACCCTTTAAGGACAACACCTGAGAAGCGGAGAACTTCTCCCCATTCTTTCCTCTCCCTGCCAGCTGTTTCCATGGAGCCCAATYGGTAACTTTTCTTATCTTAGAAATGTAGAAGACATCTTTGTGAAGCTGCAGCCCAAGGCCAAAGACCTTGTTAAATGATTTTTGTTTTTTAAATCACATTTTGTATTTGCAAACAGTTTTACAAACTACTATACTGGATATATGTTTGTGAAAAACAAGTAAAAGGGCGTTCAGCACCTGGAATGCTGATTTTTTTTCCAGCCAGTGGCCAAGTAAAATAGAGCAACAGGAAAATAGGAAGTTTAACTACATTGAACTTTTTTGTAAAGACTCTTGTTTATAGTCTTAAAATCAATGATGGTGAAGATTTCTGGAGAAACTTAACTAAGATTTTTTTTGTGGAGGAGGGGGTGCCACTACACCTTGGTGCCTGAAGTCAAAGCCTGAGACTGTAAAGGGTACTCTAGTCTAGGAGTCAGGAAACCTACATTCTAAGCTCTGTGTGATCTTGTCACTTTTATCTTCATGGGCCATAAAAGGAGGCACTAAATAAAGATGGACTGTGAAGTCCTCTACCTAGAATATTCAAAGGGACCAAGAAGGAGCTGATACAGAGAAAATAGAGCTATCAGCACCTTTGGTTGGCCTAAAGGCCCTACCCTGCCCAATGAGAGAAGATAATCCCACTTTAGTGGAGTGAAAATAGACTGTAGTATTTCTCTTTCTTTTTTCTTTTTTTTGGTGCTGGTGATTGAACCTAGGGCCTTGTGCTTGCGAGACAAGTAAGTACTYTACCAACTGAGCTATATCCCCTAGCCCCTAGTATTTTTTTTTAAAAAAAAAACCTTTATGTTATTTATTTTTATGTGGTGCTGAGGCTTGAACCCAGTGCCTCACATGTACTAGGCAAGTGCTTTACCACTTAGCTACAACCCCAGGCCCAGGGCTRTAGTTTTGAATCAGACAAACAACAGGCCTACTCACTTGTGACCTTGGGCAGTAATGATAACATTAAAATAATAATGAAACAAGACAGTGGGTAGTGGAATAATAGAATTAGCTTTGTAGTCCTACCAACTGTGATTCAAATTCCAGCTCTGCCACTTCCTAGATGGGTTACTGGGCTAGTCACTGTCTTCAGTTTAACTTTCTTATTTACAAAGCCATTATTATTATCATCACACCCACTATTGGGAAGATAATGTTTTTAAGCAGCAAACAAAGCTTGAACCAGAAGTAAGATGTTTGCAAAAGAGAAATGTTTGCATTTGAGAAGTTGTAAATCACCTTTATCTTTGTTCATTCATATGAAAATTGTTCATTAAATAAACCTGCCAGTACAGAGGTTGGGAGGATGGGAGAAGAGAGTGAAATCCACTGAGTATCTCTAATTTTTGAGAGAACCCTGGTAGAAAGACAGGATAGGGGAGCTGGGCCTAGTTGTGCAACTTGAGAGACTAAGGCAGGAGGATCCCAAGATTGAGGCCAGCCACACAAGTTAGCAAAACTGCCTTAAAATAAAAAGGGCTGCAGTTGCAGCTCAGTGATAGAGTAAGTACTTGCCTAGCATGCAGGAAGCCCTAGGTTCAATGTGGTAAGGGARAAGACAGGACAGAGAGCTGTTCCCCCATATTATGGATGAGAAAACTGAGGCTCAGAGAAGGGAAACTGTTGCCCAAAAAGGCACAGCAGAGACAAGATTTGAACCCTGACCTTTTAAGATAATATTAATGAAACATCTGACATTTACTGAACCCTTCCTAGAGTCCAGGCCTTGTTTTTAGCACTTTATATGCTCATAACTACCTTATGAAGTTGATACTGTTACTGGWTCCATATTAGAGACAAAAAACAAAGGCCCTGGTGTAAACCCATGCTTTTTTTGTTTGTTTTGTTTCAAACACAACGGCCCCTTASGAGGGAATTATTTGCAGGATGAGGAAACAGACGTCCTAGGAGAAGGTCGAGGTCTCCGCTAGGACTGGAGGAACCCCCAGCGCTGGCCACAGCACCCCGCCCCCGGCGAGTCCCCCCGACTCTGGCCGCCCCGCGCTGACCGCTGACTGCGCCCGTGTTTCCGCAGGTGCAGCACCAGGGAGATCCCTTCGGGCTGCCGAGCTTCTCGCCTCCGCGGCTGCCAGTGGCCGGCCTGAGCGCCCCGGCACCTGGCCACGCGGGACTGCCGTTGCCCGAGCGGCTGCGGCTGGACGCRGCGGCGCTGGCCGCGCTGCCCCCGCTGCTCGACGTCGTGCGCCGCCACCAGGCCGAGCTGAACCCGCGTGTGCCGCGCCTGCTGCGACGCCTAGAGGACGCTGCGCGCCAGGCTCGGGCCCTGGGCGCCGCCGTGGAGACCGTGCTGGCTGCGCTGGGCTCCACCGCCCGCGGTCCCTGGCCGGAGCCCTCCGCTGCTAACGCCRCGGCTGCAGCCACCGCCGCCACCACCACCACCAGCGCCGCAGGGGTCTTCCCAGCCAAGGTGCTGGGGCTCCGCGTGTGCGGCCTCTACAGCGAGTGGGTGAGCCGCACCGAGGGCGACCTGAGCCAGCTGGTGCCCGAGGGGCCCGCGTGAGCGCGCGCACTGGGGGCAACTTCGCGCTGTCGCCTCCTCTCCATCAGGTTYCTTCTCCATGTTTGTCTTCACTTCTGTCTCTTCCCGTGTCTGTCAGTGTCTCTGCGAACTGTCCCCTTGCTCTGACTCTGTACCTCTTCTCTTTCTGGACCTCCTTGTCTGCCCAAGGAACTTTCCTGTGTCCCTCATTTTCTCGCTTCCCCTCTCTTTTTCTCCATCCTTGGGCCTGCCTCAGTCTCTTTAGGTCTCCCCTTTACCCATCTCTGAGGATCTCTGGGTCTGTTTTCCCATCTCCTCTCCCTGTGGCCCCACGTGAGCATGTGTACATCTCAGCCTCATCTCAAGGAGGCCACACCTTGTCTCTCTCCCTCAGTTTTGTCCTTTCTTGGCCAGGAATGTGCCTGTTGGTCCTGTGGTGGGTAGGTTACTGCAAACAAATTTTAGATACCCTCCCCCAGGGTCATCCCAACTGCTGCCCTCATTGTCCCCACCCCATCCCTTTGGGCCCTTCCTCTTCTCCCTTCACTTTGCCCTGCCCTGTGCAGGGATAGTACAACCCTCACCTCTCAAACCAGGTCTGTGGAGAGGGGAAAAAAAACAAACACATAATGCCTTAAAAGAGTTTTATTTGAGAATAAATTAATTTTTTTGTAAATAAAATGTTAAAAAATAAAACTAAAGTTACTTGTATATACAGTTGTTGAAAATGGAGAGACAACTTTGAGAAGAATAGGGTCCTTGGGGTACAAACTGATCCCCCACACATACCCCAAAGGCACAGTCTGCATAAGAGATTCACCAAAACCCCAGGACAGGGATACCACCTGTCAGCCCAAAACAGGAAGTGAAAGTGCCCTGAGCAGGAAACAGATGTGATGTGACATGAGTCCTTAGTTTTTCCAGGATTCTACTTCCATTGATCAGGAAGTGAAACCCCATTTGGAGATAAAGTGGAACAATGGCCCAGACAGGCAAATCAGGAGAGGAAATGAACTCCAGCAAKAAGGGAGAGCTATCTGCTCAGAAAGGTCATATTGTCACACAGAAATGGAGGTAGACAGAGACAGGAAGACAACCCCTGAACTTCCTCCAATTATAGAAAGGAGAAAGTCTCAAGGGGAGCCCAGGAAGGAGACCAACTGTCCTCTCCCTAGAGTAGGAGGTGAAGCCTCTTCAAGGGGCTCTTCTTTCTAACTAAGAAGTAGGAAAACAAGTACCACTGGATTGGAATCCATGAAATAGGACCCATGGAGACCCAACTACTTCTGGAAGGGAGGTCATAGGCAATAAGGAATGGAGGCCTGGTGTCCAGATAATATTCTCCAAAACATGGCACACAAACCCTGGTCTCTAGAGAAGTTGTAGCTCCTTCTCTATCCCAAAAGCAAGGCAAAAAAGAGTCCACTCTGAAAGAGGAAGTGTTGTAGCCTCTGACAAGAAGCCCCACTCCTCTATGCTGGGTATTTGGCTTTGAGTAGAGCCAAGTCCCTCACAGCTCGATCTGTCCAGTGGCCATATTCCCGGGTCACTACATAGCCTCGACATTTTCTCTCGAAGGCTGAGGCCCCAAAGGTAACAAGCCCCAGAGTGTCCTCTTCTGGGGGAATAGGCAGCCCCAGGGCAGTCATGATGGCAGCCATATTGCCCAACAGGCCTTGGGCCCTGAGTCTTGCAGCTCCAAGTTGGGCCAGGAGGATGGGACTGCCAGGATTTAGGTCACTCTGGTCGTCTCCCACGAGCTGCAGGTGCTGGGTCAAGGCCAGGAAGGCTCCCTGGGCACGGTTCAGTCTCTCCCCATCATCCAGGGCATGCCAGGTCTTGAAGGGGACAGCAGCAGGAGGCAGGCTGCTGAGCTGCAGCTCAGGGGCTGAGAAGCCAGGGTCACTAAAGGGGCTGCCCTGGTGCTGGAGCTGTATGCGGGACAGAGAGAGACAGAGGTAAGGGGACCAAAGGGATGTATGGTGCTGACTCCACATCTGCACTCTGAGACTGGCATCTTCCCAGGAGAATCCACCATTCACCACCCTTCAGGGAGCTGGTAGGATGTCCTAATACAGATCGAGAGCCTTTTTAGGTTCCAATTGGTCATCTTCCATGTACTATCTATATGACATCAAATCACAAGCTTCTGTAACTCCCATGTAACATTGTTATGTGAAGATGATGGAAAATTTATATATGTATATGCATACATATATAGATATATAAACAGCACCTGAGATACAATAAAGGAATAAAAAGTAATCATTAACTAATAATATATAGATATTAATGAACTCTGTGACTATTTTTTAATAATATGTTCAATCTAAGTATATTACTGACAATRTAGTTACGGTTTAATATTTTTATTTATGGTATTTAATTGCTTATGTTTGTTAATTTTATTATGATCACTAATAAATATTTGTTAACATTGTTTAATGTAGTTGAGAGTTTTCTCCATCAAAGTTCTGACCCCCCCCCACAAAACAAGACCCACAGAATCTTAATGCATACTGATAGAGCTTTTAATTGACATATAACTTAGTTCCACATCTTCATTGTATAGATGGGGAAACTGAGTCTCAAAATGCCCAAGACTGTCCAGGGAATAGAGACAGATATGGTACCAGAACCTAAACTGTGGAATTCATAAGGGGCTGGAGTATAGTACAATGGAAGAATTGTAAACTCCAGGACTCACCAGGGCCAGCCATGTCATGTAATTTGGGGGAAAAAAGCAGGAGTAAGACGGAGGATGGAAGTTTTGGTCTACAGGATCCCTGTGTTTTAGGCAGCCACTTTTGTCTGACAACACATTGTCAGAACCAGCAAGCAGGCTGCCAATTTTGTTTCTATATGGTGGGGTGGGAGTAAGGGGTGGAGGGTTGTGGTGTGGAATTCCATAGACCTGATTTTGGATCCTGGCACTACCAGTTTTTAGCTCTGTGCCCTTGGGCAAATTATTTATCCCCTCTAGGACTCAGTTTGCTCATCTGTAAAATGCATTCTAATTCCACCAGTCAGAATGGCTTGAGGAATTGATGGCATAGAGCCCAAGTGAGCACATGGCATGAGGTGGTTAWGGAAATCACCCTGATTATGTAAATCCTTCCTTCTAATTGCTTCCTTTGACTGTGTAACAATCCTGAAAGGTCACCAAAGGTGGTATTACCATCCCATTTTGCAGATGAGGAAGCTGAGACCAAGAGAGGAAGGATCACTTGCTCAAGATCACCCAGCCATCTGCGACAACGCTTGAGTATGTCTCTAGTTAACAGGGCCCCTGTTCCCTTGGACCCACTGAAGAGAATACTCCTGAGCTTGCTCTGCTTCCCCTACCCAGGGTAGTATCCCCCTCCCCTCGTCCCCTGCTTGTGCCCCGGTCACTCACGTAGGTCTGCAGCAGTGTTGATGTATTCTTCTGCATGTAGAGGGCCARGCTATAGGCTTGACTGATGGGCTCAGCTGGGGAGATGGGGGCTGCGGGACTGAGGGGTGGCAATAGTAGGCTCAGTAGACAGAGCGGGGCTGGCAGAGGAAATCAGAGGTCAGCACCAAATCCCTGACCCTGCCTACAAATTCATTTATTCATCCTAAAACTTCTTCAACAGAGCCCTCAGTGACTGTCATATCCTGTGATTATTAGGGCTTGCAGAATTGCCCTATAGGTAGATTATTTCCACTTGAACTTCCCTTGAACTCCAAAACCCATATATTCAACTTCCTACTTGACATTTTCCCTGGATATTAGTAAGCAACTTAAACTCAGAATACCCAATACTCAATTCTAGATTTATCTCCCTCCAGCATTCTTCCAGTTGCTCAGGCCCAAATTGTGGGGTCCTCTTTAAGACCTCATTTTTTCTTACTCCACACATCCAAATCCTGTTGGTTCTGTCCTTACAAGGTAGCCAAGGCAAGGGTTTTTTTGGTTTTGTTCTTTTAAATATGGAATGTGCCAGGTGTGGTGGCACACTCCTGTAATCCCAGTGGCTAGGAGGCCRAAGCAGGAGGATCACAAGTTCAAAGCCAGCCTCAGCAACTTACTGAGGCATTAGGCCACCTAGTGAGATCTTGTCTCAAAATAAAAAAGAAAATTTAAAAAGGGCTGGGATATGGCTTGGTGGTTAAGTGCCCCTGGATTCAGTCCCTAATATCTAAATAAATAAACAAACAATAAAATATGGAATGCTTTACAAATATGTGTGTCATCCTTACACAAGGGTCATGTTAATTTTTTCTGTTTCATTCTAATTTTAGTATAAATAGCAGGTGAAARCTGGGTGCCCATTACAGGGTATATCTTCACTGTATGAGAATTAATTGAGCTGTATACTTACAACATGGACCTTTTTGTATATTTGTTACTTTCAGTAAAAACTTTTAAAAGAYGAAACAGTATATCCAGAATCTGACCATTTCTTCTTCCTCAAGGAGGCCAGCCTAGACAACTTAGTGAGATTCTGTCTCAAAACAGAAAGTGCTAGGGATGTAGCTCAGTAATAGAGTGGCCCTGGGTTCAGTTCCAGTAATGGAAGGGTKGGGGGGGGAGAAGGAGGAGGTTGGGGTAAGGCGAGGAATAGAAGAGAGAAGAGTAAAACGGGCAGTGCAAGTTTCTTTTTTCTTTTTTAATATATATTTTTAATTGTCAATGGTCCTTTATTTTATTTATTTATATTYGGTGCTGAGAATTGAACCCAGGGCCTCACACATGCTAGGCAARCGCTCTGCCACGGAGCCACAACCCCAGCCCCAAGTTTTTTGTTTCTTAATCTGAATGTTCATTATAAGGTATAYGCTCACTTTGTGAGAATATATTGAGCTGTATATGTCCAAGCTTCCACATCGTCTCTTGCTTCTTCCCCAGTATCAGCTTCTACCCTGGCTTCTGCTTGCTTCTGCAGACCCCCAGGCCCGACTATGTTCATCCCCTCTCTAGCATTCCCATGGGCTCCCACCTCACTCAGAGTAAAATTAAAGTCCTCAGTGTGGGACACGGGTTGTAGCTCAGTGGCAGAGTGCTTGCCTAGCATGTGTGAGGCCCTGGGTTCGATTCTGAGCATCGCATATAAATAAATAAAATAAAGGTCCATCTACAAGTCCTCAGTGTGCTCTGCAAAGGCTTATTCCCCCTGAACTGGCCTTCTTTATGTTCTGTCACATTCCCTGTGGGGACCACCCCCAAAACCCTCCCAAGGTCATCTCCCTCCTGTTCCTTAGGCCCCAGCTCAGATAAACTGTCCTGGCCACCATCCCCAAAGTCCTGCCCACTCCCTGAGAGTTTGCTTGTTTTCTTGTTTGTTTTTTAATTGGAAGTTATCTCATTTGTTTGTTAACTGACTTATTGCTGTCTCTTCCACCAGCATGACAGCTCTAGGCAAGAGGAGACCTCACCTGGTTCATTCATTGCTGGTTCTCACTACTAAATATTTGGTGAACAAATGAATGAATGCTGTCATGGGTGGTCTTATTGTTGTTTTGCTTTTGTGGTGCTGGGGATAGAACTCAGGGCCTTGTGAGTGACCGACCACAGCTCTACCACTGAGCTACATCCCCATCCCAGGCCACAGGTTTTTGTCTGATCACTGGTTCTATTCCCAAATGCTTAGGACAGCACAGTCAGCCCTCTGTATTTGCAGGATCTGTAGCCACATATTCAACCAACTGCAGATAGAAAATTTCATCTAAACTGAACATGAACAGACTTCTTTTTTCCTTGTCATTATTCCTAAACTATAAAATGACTATTTACATGACATTTATATTGTATTAATTATAAGTTATCTAGAGATGATGTGAAGTATATAGGAGAATTGTGTAAACTACATGCAAGTATCACGCCTTTTTAAAAAAGCTTATTTAATTTATTTATGTTTATGTGGTGCTGAGGGTCGAACCCAGTGCCTTACCTGTGCTAGGCAAACACTCTACCACTGAACTACAACCTCAGCTCAATATATCGTGCCTTTTTATATAAGGGACTTGAGTATTCTAAGATTTTAGTATCCTCTGGGGGGTCCTGGAACCAACCCTCCATAGATACCAAGGGATGACTATACCTCACATATAATAGGCACTCAGTAAATATTTGTTGAATGAATGAGGAATGAAGCCTTCAATGTATAAGGATTTAGAGGTTTCCAGCAAGTGCAAAGTCACTAGGCACATGAGTCAGAGCAGCCAGAGAGGGCCCCCATCCCTCCTGGCCTCCGGGTCCTGGTGCTCAGTCCCCTCACTCACCCAGGTGACAGCTCATGCTCTCTCCTTGGCTCCTTCCTTTCTGCAATTTCTGGGTCTTTCCAGGGCACCTGTCCTCCTGTCCCTCAGGTAGCTTTATACCTAGATCTGTGCCCTGGAGCCGCCCAGGAGGGAGGGAGGGAGTACACCCTGGAGAGAGGGGGCGGGCAGTGGACAGGGTCCTGGCAAAGAATGAGGCAGACCCAGTTAGGGGACAGGACAAGGAGAGGTTTGGGAGGGACCCAGAAGAGGGTATATATTTCAGGCCAAGTGGCCTGGGACTCAGGGTACAGAAGACTCCCATGCAGGAAATAGACAGGGATGAGGACACTGAGTTGACACCCTGGACTCCTACAAACCCCAAACTCAACCTTAAACCTTGGTGGCTGGGAAGGAGCGGGCAAGGGCGGGGAGGGGATTATGGGGGACAAAGGGGCCGCCCTGCTCCCTGCTGCTCTGCACGTCCTGGGATCCAGTTTCCCCTGAGGAGGCGGGCCCCCTGCTCCGCCCACAGGGACCCAGGCTTTGGGCACTGGCTCCCAAAGAGTTTGGAAAAGGGTCAGAAGGAGTGGTGTAGGGGCAACATCATCCMAAAGCAGGTGCACCCTTGGACACAGGAGCACACACACGTCCACACACGCATAGGCACGCGGACACACAGCAGACCTGAATGCACAATTTCATGCATTCATTCATGAGTAGTCCTGGACCCTACTGTGTGCCAGTCCTTCTTCTAAGTGCTGGGACAGAACAGGGAACAAAACAGACAAAAATTCCGTTGTCTTGGAGCCAACAGTGGAGCTGTATGTGGGGCTGGGCCTCACCCAAGAAGGCAGGAAAACCCCCATCAGGCCAGGACTATGCATGTTACACATCCCGAAACTCAGACAAATGAGTGCTCCTGTGTACACAGATGTACACTGACATGTGAATACATGCTGCACACCTGGAGACTCGGCCAGAGGTACCTGCACAGAGCAGACATGAGCACATGGAGCACACACGTCATGCCTGTACACATGCATACAGACACACGTGCGGCAGAGGAGCAGGAGTCCTGGATCTAGCCACATCTCAGTCTCTGATAGACAAGGAGAGATCCTGTCCCCTGCCAGGCAGAACACACAGGGACACACACACACACACACACACACACACACACACACACACACATTTGAGGTCCTCCTCCCCAAGGAGCCTTGAGGCAGAGGGGCAAGACTGGGGAGAGAAGCTGGGTTTAGGTCCCTGCCCAGAGCTATCCCAACAGTGATTCAGACTGATCAGTAGGATCCCACCCTGACTCCATCCAGGGGGTAGAATACTGCTTCTCCCTACTGCTCAGGTAAGGGGGTGACATGAAGAAAGAGGTACCCTACATTTATTCAACAGATATAACCCAACACTCACTCTGTGTGCCATTAGAATGAACAGAAGGGCAGGTGAAGTCCGTCCTCACAGGGTACGTATTCCAGTGGGGGAAACCAACAATAAACATGTGAACTAATAAAAACCAATAATACTTCCTAAAATGACARGGGCTAGGAAGGAGCCAAAGGGAGTTGATGTGATTAGCCGGGGGTTGTTGGGAGGAGACTTAACTAAGGAGCCAAAGGCCAGAAAGGGCAGCTACTTACCTGGAGTCACACAGCAAATCCAGGCCCGATCCTAGGCTCTATCCCCCAGCTTGGGGCTAGAGGTGGGATGTCCCAGATTTGAACTGTGAGCTGAAGGAGGGAGTAGGTTAAGGATAAAGATGGTTCTGAGTTGGGGTTTTCTAAACAGCATCTCTAAGGCTGGGGGCTGCCAGGCTGGCAGGTAGGGCCTGTGCTGGGCAGAAGGTGATGTCAGGGGATTAGAGTAGCCCCATTGAGTGGGTGCACTGAGGCGTGGGCCAGGCCCTGGTGGTGGAGTATGGGGAGGAGGGGAAGAGGGAGGCAGATACTCGATCTGTGCTATTCACAGGTGGAGGTGTACGTGGGGCTGGGCCTCACCCAATGCGGCAGGAAAACCCCCACCAAACCTCAGCACTGCCTGCATCTCTCAGGGGACTCACTTTCTCTCTCTGAACCTCCTGGGTGTCATTCACAGCTGAAGGAATCAGTCCCCAGGCCAGGCCCAGCTCCATTTGTCCAAAGTGAGTGTCTTGGCAGAAGTCAGTACCTCTGCCATCCTGACCTGCTCCACTCACCATGGATCCATATGTCTCCATCTATGTTCTGGTCTCATCAGGAGCTGATATCTTGGGGATCCCAATAATTTTGGAGGGAGTAGGGTTGGGTTCAAGTTCTGCATTTATYCATCACTAGCATGGACAAGTTACTTAACTTCTTTGAACCCATTTTTTCTTTTTACCTTRTCTGGAAACAGGGATGATAATTCCCACCTCACAAACCCTTACTGACTCCACACACCAAGTGCCTTGATCCCTGCTGTGAGCACACCCCCCCCCCCCCCCCCCCCCCCCCCCCCCCCCTCTCTTGGGGATTCTCCAGTAGTGCAGAATGCTCCCAAGCAATGGCAAAACTCTCAATATCCCACCACCTTATGTTTCTGAGCCCAGTCCCTGTCCCATCCATACATGTAATCTCAAGAGATCCAATGCCCAGCTATCCCCAGGACCCCCAAGCATGACCCCAACATCATCCAGAAACCACATAATGAAGACAATTCAGAATACATATATATGAACTCCAAATCAGGCACAGTGGTGCACACCTGTAATCACAGCTACTCTGGAGGCAGAGGAAGGAGGATCACAATTTGGAGGCCAGCCCGAGCAACTTAGTGAGACCCTGCCTCAAAATAAAATAAAAAGGATTGGRTTGGGGTATAGATCGTGGTAGAGAACTTGTTTGGCATGCTCTAGGCCCTATTCCATCCCCAGTACCGCGAAACAAGCAAAAAAGATACCCTATCCCAGACAGTAACTCCAACCCTGTTCCTATTCCTGACTATAGATCTTTCCCCTACCCAAGGTGTAAGCATAGCTTGACAGCTTTCAGAAATAAGCAAGGCAGGTACAGAAAGCAAAGAAGTTGGTGGTTGC